TCCTCCTCTCTCTCTCTCCTCCTCTCTCTGCGGGCACACCTCTCCCAGCCCTTAAGTAGGCGTGGAATGCCAACCCCGAACTGCCAGGTGGGCACTGCCCATAGGCCCACGCATATGCAAGCAGCTGATGATCATTGCGTGATCATAGCATAGGTCAGGCCTTAGCCATCTCAGGAGTTGATTATACATCTCCATCAGGTGTGACTCCATGCAGCTCGCTACACATGGGGGTCTTCTCTCGTATGCTCCCCCTTCCACCAGAGGTGGAGGCTGGTCAAGCTCAGAGCACGGTCTCTGCGGCACACACCCCATGCTCAGCCCCGTCATTCCTAAACCCTGGCGTCTACATCCATAGGCACAGAGGAGCAGGATAGGCCGCTCTCCCCCATATCAACTTAGGATGACAAAGATGTGGTGAAATCCCATAGTTCCCTGCTCAGTCTGTTCTGCTCAGGAAATGGGGTCGCACTCTCTCGCTTATGACACATTCTGTTCTTCACAGAGGACCCGAGGGGTCACACTGTGTTGCCGCTGTAAATGCCTGTTTAGCACACAGCAAGGCTGGCCAATCACAGACAGCCCTGTTCTTTCCTTGTTGATTCTTTTCCCCCATGTTTTCTCCCCTCCCCCTTTCCTCATTGCCCCTCCCCTATTCCACCCAGCCCCCTTTCCTGTTCCCGCCACCCGCCCAATTGACTGCCCCATCCATCCTCTCTCAGGTTCTTTCCCCACTTAAAACAACAGGTGAAAAACTAGCTAGAACACGCCGCTGACTGCAGTTTCTTTACCTGCAGCCTTCAGCGCGGTCCGCAGCTCATAGGAAGACATGGTGCCAGACTTGTCCACATCGAACCGGAGAAACAGGTTCTGGGCCAGGGAGTGGAGCATTGAGAAGTCAGAGTCCAGGGACCAGTGACAGCTGGTAGCTGCCCCGGAATGACAGCTGCCTTCTAGGCAAGGTTGGACCAGAACCTTCCCCCTCCTCCCTCCTCTCTCCCTCCCTTTCTTCCTTCGGTCCTTCCTCCCTTTCTCTTTCTTTCTTTCTTTCCTTTCTTTCTCTCTCTCTCTCTCTCTCTCTCTCTCTCTCTCTCTCTTTCTTTCTTTCTTTTTTCTCTTTTGCTTTGACAGAGTCTCATCTAGCCCAGGCTAGCCTCCAAATCTCTAAGTAGCAGACGATGAACTTAAACTTCTGATCTTTGTGTCTCTGCTGCCTAAGTGCTGCGATTATAGATGTGCAGCAACATGCCCAGCTTCTTGCTGTGGATCACACCCAGGGTTTCATGCATGTCAAGCAAACACATTATCAATTTAGCGGACCCCCCAGCCCGTGGACCCCTCTTTACTTTAGTTTTCTTTCTTTCCTCCTCCTCCTTTTTTTTTTTTTTTTTTTTT